GAGGAGGGGGGGGGGGGGGGGGGGGGGGTGGTGGCAGAAGGAGAGGCGGTGGAGAGAGCCTGGCTACAGCGAAATGGCAGAGACGGAAGCGGACACCCGGCGGCTGATCACCAAGCCGCAGAACCTGAATGACGCCTACGGGCCGCCCAGCAACTTCCTCGAGATCGACGTGAGCAACCCGCAGACGGTGGGGGTCGGCCGGGGCCGCTTCACCACCTACGATATCAGGGTCAAGGTGAGGCGCCGGCCCCTCTCCCCAGACCCGCGGTTCGCGGACGCTCGTCCCTACCCGGCCGGGCGCGGGCTCCCGGGTGTCAGCGGCCGCCTTGGGCAGCTCGTCTGCCGGCGGAGCGGGAGCCAGGGTCTCCCTGTGCGGGGGGACAGCCCGCCGGCTCTGTGGAAGGTGCTGGAAGATGAGGGCGTGGGTTGAGCTCTGCTTGCCTCTCAGGCAGCTGATGTGGGCATGGCGTTTGAGTTGAAGAGGTAGATCTTTCCAGAACACTTCTCCGAAAAGGAAGCTAGGTGTGACTGAGGAAAGGGGGGTTGTGCAAAGTTGCAGCCCTCACTCTCCTTTTTTTTTTTTTTTTTCCCTGAACGCTTACCAAGACGTGGCCAAGCCAAGCTTAGCTGCACTTTCCAGGCCTTTCTCAGGCTACAAGACTAACCTGGGTCGTACGCTTCTCTGAGCAGAACTTGACGGGAGTTCACGAAAGCGTGACAGATTTTTTGTAGGGCTGAACCAAGCGCTAGCAGTGATGGGGAAATGGTTGACCTTAGCGTTCTTGGCTGCCGGCCTGTTGAAGGCCTAGGTGTGGGGAATGTCACCTACCCTCAGCAACCTGAGTAACAACTGCCTGTGAGGGGGACCTCCTCATTTAAATACCTTGCTTTCTTAATTTCTAGATTTTCACTTCAACTGAATGAAGGAATCAGCTGAAATAGAAACATACACTTAAGAGTTTCATAGCTAGTGGTTTTTGGCAATAAGTAATTTAGATGATTTGAAAGATGCTAAATGAAAATACTGCTTTGCAGTATTTTTTCTGCAGTTCAGGATTAAAGGTTTTGTCCACATTTGGAAATTTTTTTTATTGTAGTAATTCACCACTAAACACCAAATTATTAAAAAAAAAAAAAGCCGTTGGTGGTGGTGCACACCAGGCAGAGGCAGGCGGATCTCTGGGAGTTCAAGACCAGCCTGATCTACAAGAGCTAGTTCTAGGACAGCCTCCAAGGCTACAGAGAAACCCTGTCTCGAAAGACAAAAAAAAAACAAAAACAAACAAACAAAAAACCCATAAGATTTGGTTTTAGCCAGGCGTTGGTGGCGCACGCCTTTAATCCCAGCACTTGGGAGGCAGAGGCAGGAGGATCTCTGTTTGAGGCCTGCCTGGTCTCCAGAGCGAGTGCCAGGATATGCTCCAAAGCTACACAGAGAAACCCTGTCTCGAGGGAAAAAAAAAAAAAAGTTTTGGCTTTAGAGGAATCATAACAAATAACCGATAGCATTTAAGTGAAGAAATTCCTCATTAATTTTGGCACTTTAGTGTGGTAAACAAAATTTGCCATCCTAGTCAATTCTAAGTTGTGTGGATCAGTAGTGTTACATATACTTAGGTTGTGAAATTTACACACTTTTAAAGAATGAATTTTGTTTTTTGAGACAGGGTTTCCTCTGTGTAGATTTGTAGACCAGGCTGGCTTTGAATTCACAGAGATCCACCTGCCTCTGGTTCCTGAGTGCTGGGATTAAAGGCATGCACCATTACTGCCCAGCTAAAGAATGATTCTTGTGAGTCGGGCATTGGTGGCACAAAACCTTTAATACCCAGCACTCGTGAGGCTGAGGCAGGAGGATCTCTGAGTGCCAGGATATAGCCTGGTCTCCAGAGCAAGTGCCGGGATAGACTCCAAAGCTACACAGAGAAACCTATCTGGAAAAACAAAAAAAAAAACAAAAAAAAAAAAAAAAAAAAAAAAAAAAAAAAAAAAAAAGATTCCTGTGTAATTAATGACCAGGAAAAAAGTTAACCATCAAACTTTTGAGGCAGGCTCATGTTGACCAGGCTGGCCCCAACTGCTGAAAGTAAAGTCCATTGTCACTATCTCTGGCAAATCTCAACAAATTTATAAGATTAAGTTTAATAGCTTGGTCTTTCAAGCTACTCTTTAAACACTGTAGATGTGTAAAATATGAGCCAAATTAGTATCTTGTTCTTTACAAACTGCAGAATTCAGCCTTTAGTACACCTGACAATTTTTTTTTTCTTTTGACTTTTTGAGACAGGGTTTCTCTGGCTTTGGAGGCTGTCCTGGGCTGTCTCTCCCAGAGATCCACCTGCCTCTGCCTCCCAGAGTGCTGGGATTAAAGGCGTGTGCCACCACTGCCCGTCTGAAACAGGATTTCTCTGTGTAATAGCTCTAGCTATCCTGGAACTCACAGAGATCTGCCTGCTTCCAAGTGCTGGGGTTAAAGAACTGGGTCACCACACCCTGCTGGGGAATTCACTCTTGTACAAGTCTGTTTTAAAAGTGAATAATTGTAGGGGCTACAGAGATGGCTCAGTGGTTAAGAACACTTCTGCTCTTGCAGAAGACTTGAGTTTGGTCCTCAGCATCCACAAAGATGGGGCATACCACCTGCAACTCCATGCCCTCTTCTGGTCTCCTTGACGACCTTCATACACATGGCACACACAGACACACAGAAAAATAATTTTTTTCTTTTTTTTTTTTTGGTTTTTCCAGACTGGGTTTCTCTGTGTAGCTTTGGAGCCTATCCTGGCACTCGCTGTGGAGACCAGGCTGGCCTCGAACTCACAGAGATCCGCCTGCTTCTGCCTCCTGAGTGCTGGGATTAAAGGTGTGCGCCACCAACACCCAGCCTAGAAAATTTTTTTACTGACAATTTTTTTAAAGGTTATGCTTCTTTTTTAAACTTAGGGAATGCTTTTTGTCTTTAGTGTATGGTCTGTCACTAAAAAGAACTTCCTCTTTTGCCTTTATTCACCAGCATGTTTTTTCCTTGTGCTAGCATGAAACTTGGTATTCCTGTTTCTAAACTTCCATAGCTAGTGTTTCCTGTCACACAGTTGAGTGGATCCGCCTACACTTCCTCCACTTAATAACTTAGTGCTTATCTTGCTGAGTACATTGTTAAATGGATCCTAGTGTGATAATTCTCTTTCCAAAAATACATGAGACATTATTACTAAATAGTGGCTGTGACATTTATTTGGATATAATTGTTAATGGCCTGGCCATGTACATAGAAAACAAGTCATTTTAACAGTGATTAGTGAGTTAGATAATTAAATAAATTATACCTACTCTGGTTTATTTTTATTATAAGCCACTTGGTTATGTGTTAATGACTAGTGGAAATACTGTCACCCAGTAAATAATAAAACATACTTGAGTTTTAATGCTTAGAAAATGCTGTTGGAGTTTCTCTTAGTATGTAATGTATTTACTGAAAACTTCAGGACACCAAGTAGGAAGACATTTAAAGCTTTAAGTAGCATGTGATTTTCCAGAGTAATTACGATATTATATTAAGGTAGATGAGCCGATGGCACGGGCCTTTAACCCCAGCACTTGGGTGGCAGAGGCAGGTAGGTCTCTTGAGTTTGAGGCCAGCCTGATCTACATAGTAAATTTCAAGATTAAAAAAAGTTAGAATGGCCATGAGATGAATACATTTAACATTTTGTAATTTTATTTATTACTATTCTAAACTGTTGATGTTCTCAGTAGTTTCTGCTGCCTGCCTTTGCAATTGAATTTGCCATGTAGAAAGCCCTTTTATTTTTCAGAGTTCAGGCCCTTAAACTATCTTATAGTTACTCTCTAATTCTAGTCTTGAGAAAAGTGTTCAATTTTACAGGGTCTGATTGAAATTGCTCCAATTCACAGGGTAATTTTATCTAGATGGTGGCACTTTAGAATACAAGTTTCCCAATCTCCATTTATCTTTTCTCATTTGAGAATAGTGTTTAAGACTATTAGGATCACTTGATTAGTATCTCTCAGCTTCTGAAAATAATTGGCACAGTGTTAATGTTTTTTAAAATTGTTCTAATGGGTAGGTATGGCAGAGAACACCATAAATGATTAAAGGTCTGGGAAAGCCTGAGGTCTGGATTTTTTGGCATATTAAAGAGAGGGCTGAAAAGGAAATTCAGCCACTGCTTAAGAAGTTCATGGTAGTACTTTGGGTTTTTTGGTTATTTAAGATCTACTATAGTACCTGGAGGCAATTCTATCACTCAGGAATAGGTATGAGGTTCTTCCTTAAGGTTTGAGCTAGCCTTGGGTTCAAAAAAGTAAGTACCATTTCCTGGCAGGACAATTTACATACAAAAAAGTTAGTTATACTTCCTTTCCATGAAATGGATCCTTGGCAGTCACATCTACCTCGCAGGATTGGATATTATGGCTGTCATCCAGTATTCACCCAAAGTCTGGCCCTTTTTAAATATAAATATCTTCTAAAGGAAAAGTCAAAGGCAACTACATTTTTTGTGATAACTTGCTGTAAATTGATTTACTAAAATGGATTTCCTTATCAAAAAGACTACATGGCATGGAAGTATACCTTTATAGAGGCAAGTGTGATGTAAAAAGGAGCCATGCTGTTTAGTACTTATCCAAATATGTTTAGAATATTGTATTCAAGCTTAAAGCTTAATATCAACATTGGTTGATAGAAGTTTTAACATGGGAGATGCTTGGTAGCATTGTGGCTAGATTTCCAGCATGCCTTTTTCCAGCACTTAAGAGATAGGGGCCTACATAAGGTTTTCCAGGTCAATCAGGGCAACATAGTGTGATCCTGTTTCAAGTAGCAGCTTGATAGCATTCACCATTCTAAAGATTCTTTCTTCCCTTGGTGGGGCTGGGGGGAAGGGATGAGGAGGTGTGTTTGCTTTCCTGGAACTTACTCTGTAGACCAGGTTGGCCTCAAACTCAGAGATCTGCCTGCCTCTGTTTCTCCAGTACTGGGATTAAAGGCGTGCACCACCAGAGCTAGTGCCAGGATAGGCTCCAAAGCTACACAGAGAAACCCTGTCTAGAAAAACCAAAAAAAGAAAAAGAAAATCAAGGTTTTTGTTGTTGTTTTGTTTCTTTTCATTTTTGTTTGTTTCGAGACAGGTTTTCTCTGTGTAGACCTGGCTGTCCTTTGTAGAACCCCAGGGTGGTCTTGAGAATTCACAGAGGTCCTCCTCCCTCTGC